AAATACAGGACCATAGTAGAATGCTGCTTTTGATTTTTAAATTTATTTTTTGTGTGTGTGGTTGTGGTGCCGGGATGGAACCCAGGGCTTTGTACATGCTAGACATGTGCCATACCACTGAGCTCCACCCCAGTCCCTAACACTGCTTTTTAATTGGTAAAGTTACATTTAATTTCAATCCACAAGGATGTGTCAGGTATCATTTCCTGTTCCTATGTGTACCCGGTGTCTCCTCTATGATGGCTGGGCAGCATCTCCCTGGGCATCTGTCTCCAGGTTCTTGAAGTTTGGGGGTTGGGGGGTCAGGCACCTGGCTGGGTTCCTGGAGTCAGAGGGGGATCAGTAACCCCTGGAACACTTGGCCTCCCACACTCTGCCTGTTCACCTCAGAGCAGGACACTTGGTCTTCAGGGTGCTAGGTTTAACTTGTCCCCAGAGAGTCTGTGTAACTTCCCCCTGAGGGCCTCTGCCCCTCTCTGAGGCTGCCCTGCTGATCCTGGAGTGACGCCCAAACCTTCCTGCCTATAACACTCCCTCCTCTTGGTGTCTCAGTTGCTGCAGACTCCCAGGATACTTGCTTATCAGTCTGAGGCTGGGCAGTGGCAGAGGTAGCGAACAGGCCTCTGCAAAGGAGGAAGGCAGCTTCTTCCTTCAGGCCTGGGATTCTGGAGAGGAAACATGTCTGGACCATTTGAGTGAACATGGCAATTTCTAGAATGCCATAGGAAGAAGCAAATTCCAGGCAGAGGGCCGTGTGCAGCCTATGGATACATGGAAGTGTGCATGTGTGAAGCATGATGAACAGTGGGTGACTGCTGTCACAAGGACAGGAATGCTGCCCAGCTGAGAGGATCTCTGTCCATTCTGTTCTGAGTGCGAAGGAGCTATTGCTGTTGACATTGTGTTTAAAGTACACATTGCATTTGCTTTCATGGAGCTCAGCATAGGTGTGTGCAGGACCTTCAGCTGGTGTGTACAGTCTAGTGAAGGCAAGGACACCCGTCTAACCATCCACCAGGCTGGAGTGTCCAGTGATGGCCTGTGCTTGTGTTTGGCTATACATGAGTTGTGATGCTGCCAAGGATGTTCTTGAATGAGTTTCCTGACTCGTGTTGGATGTATACCTGGAGTGGAGTTGGCAGTGCAAGCTTAGAAGTAGCTGGGTGACACAATCATATTTATGACACAAAACTCAATCCTGGCATCCACAGTGTGTGAAAGGAGAGCAGGGAGGCTCCGTCCTAGTGCCACAGCTACTATTGCTGATAGGTTTCAGCCCCCGTCCCCATGACAGGGATAGATGGCTTTTTTAAGATTCTTATTTTTTAAAAATATTTTTATTTTGATTATTTTTAATTTTATGTGTATGAGTGTTTTGCCTGCATGTATGTAAGTGTGCCCATGTCATGCAGTGCCTGCAGAGGCCAGAAGTAGGTGTTGGTTCCTCTGGAATCAGTTACAGATGATTGTTAGCCACCATCTGGTGCTGGAATTCCAACCTTGGTCTTCTGTAAGACCAGCCAGTGCTCTTAAACATTAAACTATCTCTCCAGCCCTAAAAATTTTTATACTGAGTGTTTTGCCATATGAACACAAATGCACTATGTACATGCAATGCCCACAGGGGCCGGAAGAGGGTCTCTGGAACTGGCATTACAGATGGTGGTTAGCTGCCACGTAGGTGCCGGGAACTGAGCTCAGGTCCTCTGCAAGGGTAGCCAGTACTCTTAATCACTGAGCTATCTCTCCAGTCCCATGGGACAGACGACTTAAAAGTGTCACTTGATAGGTCAGTGACAGAATTTAAAACTTAGACTTACTTCTTGGGGACAATACCAGGTTAAGTCCTGGTAGGCAGAGCAGGAAGGGAACAGGAGAGGGGACAGGCCCAGGGACCTCTGCAAGAGAGGCAGGAGTTTGCAGATGGTGAGCTGAGTTCTGGTGTGGTCCACACGTAGCAGTAAGACGGGTGGAACACTGGAGATGTTAGGCCATGGTGTGGGCCCAGGGTGTCAGTCAGTGGGTTTCCATCCAGCTTAAAGGGATTGTGGGATCAAGAACTCTTGTTGCCACTCAAAAGAAGTCTGGAAAATGTGCCACTGGCAATGCCCTGGGAGAACAGTGGCACCAGCACTGTCCCCTTTGCCATTTGTGACAGGCTGCCAGGGCTGCCGTAGCACACTCTGGGTCAGGCAGTGTGCGCCACAGAAGTTCACATTTCCACAAGTGTGAAGGCTAGAAATCTGAAGTCAAGGTGTCAGTGGGGTTGGTGTCTCAAACCAGTAAATGCCACCTGCTTCCTGTTCCCTACATGGTCATCCCTCTGTGCGTGTCTGTGACCTAATCTCTTATGAGACACTGGTCTTGTAGAATTGGGGCTTACCCACTGTCCTGGTTTGTTTCTCCATTGCTGTGACAAAACACTCTGACCAATACCAACTTGGGCAGGAAAGAGTTTATTTAGCTTACATCTCTCAGGTCACAGTTCATCTAGGAGCCCAGGGCAGGAACCTGGAGGCAGGAGCTGGAGCACAGACCATGGAGGAACACAGCTTACTGGCTTGCTCCCTGGCCCCTGTTCAGCCTTCTTATGCAACACAGGCCCACCTGCCCAGGGGTGGCACCACCCACAATGGGCTGGGCCCTCCCACATCACTCATCAAGAAGATGCCCCTCAGACGTGGCCACAGGCCAGTCCAATAGAGGCAATTCCCCAATTGAGGTTCCCTCAACCCAGGTGTGTCAAGTTGACACTAAAGCTATCCAGCACACCCACCATGATCATTTTAACTCAGTCCCTCTTTAAAGACTTACATGCTAAAGTACTGGGATTAGGGCTTCCGTGTGTGAATTTGGAGGAGACAGACATCAGCCACTCTCAGTCGACAGACTAGCTCGTCTCTTGGTTCTGTGATGTCTGACATAACCAGTCATGGCTTGGCTTTCACAGCCAGGGCTGGGGGTGTCCCCCATAGTAGAACACATGCCTAGCACATGCAAGGCCCTAGGGCTCAATCCCCGGAACCACCAGTCAATCTCATGGCTAGAATTGTCTCACCTAGTGCAAAGCAACACTGCAGCAAGGAAGTGGCACTGTTGAGGAGTCCGCCTTCCTGCCCTGTGAGCCACAGCTCCGTGGGGAAGGTAGCTGTTGGGAAGGTAACTCCAGCCTTGAAGGAGAGGTTGCAGAAATGAAGGAGAGAAGGGGTCAGGAGGGGGAAGTGGGGCCACTGTGGACACCAAGATGGGATCTTTAGGGAGGCCATCAGGGAACTGAGGGCAGAGGAAACGTCCAGAGGCAAGCCTGTCTGGGTGGGTGCTCCATCCATTAGCCCAGTCCCACACAGGGGAGGGGGCCAGCAAATGGAGCTCAAGGAGCCCATGGTATGCCTGCATGGCAGGTCACTGAATCCTTTAGGAAAAGCCAGCACAGCACTGATCTCTGAGGGGGAGGATGGAAACTCAGGAGTTCTTGGCACTGCAAGGGGGAAAGCGTAAAGAAGAGAGAGGAGTTTGTTCTGATGTGGAGTTGGGGGATACTTGGCCTTGTGTGTGTGTGTGTGTGTGTGTGTGTGTACATTGTGCACCAGGCTATGGGGGAGGCAGAGATGGGGAAGGGATGGGCTGTGCCAGCCAACCCTGCCCAGGGATGGGAGTGTGTGTGCAAGTGTCTCATGCCTGAGGGGTGGGCAGGACTGATAGGCAGCTGCTCTCAGGCCTGTGGCCCCAGACAGGGAAGCAGCCATGCTGATAAGGAGGCCTCTGCAGGTGGGCCTCTGCTCTGATACTGTCCTTCATCTGAGAGCAGGAAGGAGTGTGTGTGTGTGTGTGTGTGTGTGTGTGTGTGTGTGTGTGTAAAGGGCTGATGTCTTTATTATAAAAGATCCAAGCAAATGAATAATTTGATCAAAAATGAAAACTTCATTTTCAAGAAGGAGGAAATTATAAACATGATAAAATGTTCAGACTCAGTACTGATAAATGCAAGGTAAGATTACACTTTGCTCTTATACAGTTGAGGAAAATGGGAATTTTATTTCCTCCTTATAGGGCCTCTGGCAGAGCCTTCACCTCTAGGCCTGGAGATGTACCGCTGCTTAGAGGTGACTCTCTTGCGCCCCCTCGAGGGAACCTGTATTTGTGTGCCCTCGGCTGCTCTTTCATTTTCTGGGGGAAAATGGAAAGGTGTGAATTTGTCTTTAAACCCAGAACTCTACAACCCAAGGGTTTTCTTTGGTGAGGTCACCATAGGCCCAGGGCCAGAAAGTAGAATGGTGTTCTCAGACTCGATTTGTGAACTATATAATTGTATATAAACAGGTAAGGACAGTTTCCTCCTCCAAAGATAACTTCCCTCTTCCAGTTTTCCTGAAGAAAACTGCCATTCTGTCTTTTCACTGCCATTCTGTCTTCTCAGTTTTTAATATTTTTATGTTTGAAGAAGACACTCTAGAAGACACTCTATCAAATGGACTTTTTTGTTTTGGAAAGCCCAGGCCCAATATAGTGCTGGGTGGTAACTTACAGTCTGTCTCACTGTCTGGGAGCTGAGGGAAGTAGGGCCTGCACAGCTGGAGCACGAGAGACTGTGACAAAGCACCACAGCCCCACCTAGTAGTTTAGGAGAAATAACTCTAAAATTGGAGACTCATTCTGGTTTCTAAGAAACCATGTGATGCACACAAAATTCCCACATGGTACAGATAAGCAGCACATTTTCAGGCTGGGTTGGGTCCTTGTCTAGAGCTCAGCCCTCTTGTTTTCCTGGCTTCTGAGGACAGGAAGCAGGAGGGAGTTTGCTTAAAGCCACTAATGCTTATTGGATGAATGGTATTTAAAATGTCCTTGCTTATGTGTCATTTAAAGCCATTTAAGACACTGCTTGGTTCTGCCAAGTCATCTCATGGGGGGTGGCAGGGTCACTGACTGGAGATCTCTAAAGACTTCTGCAGAGCTACGTCACCTGAGCATTTGGCCTAATCTTACTCTTCCTCTTGCAGCACTGGCCTGTGTTCAGGGAGGTTAAGGACCTGCTGACATTGGTGCCACCCCTGGTGGGCCTGAAGGGGAACTTGGAGATGACACTGGCATCTCGACTCTCTACAGCTGTAAGTGACAGCTGGACACCTCAAGTCAAGGACAAGGACAGCGTGTTCCCTCACTGGGCCCCCCTCAGTGGCTTGTGGGTGGAGATTAGAGTCTCTACTGAGACAGGTGTTGCTGGCTTTTGCTGTCTCATGATGCTGGTCCTGTCTCTTCTCTCTGACTGTCACCATTTCTCTGGGACTATATTGAACTGCTGGTAAGGAGCCTGCACAGAGCCCAGGGCTTCTTTCCTGCCTCACCCTCAGCGTCAGTTGATTCTGTGTGTCTCTGTGCCCCAGAGACTGTGTGCTGCCACCTGGACCCTGGGCCCTGCTCCTTCACACATACACATAGTATGCAGTGTAGGCCCAAGGGAGGATCCTGCAGAGGAGACAAGGAGGGTCTTAGTTGCCTAATATCACTCTGTTCTCCAGACCACTTCAGGTCCTGTCACTGTGGGTGTCTTCCCACTGCTCTGTAGCCAGCACAGTCCCTGCCTCAACTAGCTCTTCTCACCCCTCCCTGGCAGCCCCAGGGGTTGGGTTTCACCCTTTCTTTGAAGAAAAGGATGGTGGCCAGAGGAGGTATATTGTGTTCAAGGATCTGAGTCCTGTAGCTGACATGCAGAGTGTAGGGACAGGGCCTGTTGTGTCCATCGTTCACTGTGTGATGTTAGCACCTCTGTCACTGCAGAGCATGCCCATTTCCCCATAAAAGAGGCCAGGTCACCCGAACCTAGAAAACCGAGTAGCATAATCTATTCTGTCCCAATTTCTCTTCTGAGAGAGAGACCTCCTGTTCCAGTACAACCGGGCATCCTCTGTCCTTTTCTCTTTATGCCAGGCCAACACTGGACAAATCGATGACTCTCAGGAGAAGTTCAAGATCATTAGCAGCAACCTTGCAGTTGTCCAGGTGAGTCTCCCTTGTCAGACCCATGCCGCTCTTCCCCCTCCTTTGTGGAACTGCAACCCGCCTCTGTCCAGATAAGGAAGGAGGAGGCTACCTGAGCCTTGTCTCTGCACTCTTAGAGGAGAGCCTGGAGTAGTCCAGCCCAACCCAGGCAACCACCATAGCACTTGGGAGAGAGCCTGTCCTGAGACCACAGTTCCTCCAGCTTCCCCTCTGCCACCTTCCAAGCCAAATCCTTGAGACCCACATGTGCTCAAGTTCTACCAGGCCTTGCATTGGCTAGCAGGCCTCTCACCCCACATTTGGCCTTCCACCATGTTTCCTCAGGTCATGACACATCCTGAGTTCCACTCTTCCACTGTGCTTACTTAATCTTACTGGGGCCTGGTGGATCCTTCCTGTCTGGAAACTCCCCATTGGCCCTGCTCCTGCCTCTTCACTGTTCCGTCCCAGACTGACAGGACTTCTTCAGCCCTTCAGCCCTTCATACCCCTCTCACTCTGCCTCCTTCTGCCAGGCCATCCATTGACTAACGCCTCGTGTAGGCACTTTGTAGCAGTGAATTGTAGCCAGGAGGCCCAAGGCAGGAGGAGATGAGGCTCTAGCAAGAGACAAGGTTGTGCGTAGAGCAAGTGGATCCTTCTAAAGGACCCAGCCTGGTCCATTGTGATGGTGACCACCTGGCTATCTGTAAATTCACCTAGGTTGCAGAATACTCACCTGGACCTGTAAGCATGAAGCTATGAGGTACTGCCATGGGCGTCCATGGTGTCCTGCAAGGCACCCATTCTTCAGTTGCCCATAACATTCAGCATGGGACAGAGGTGGACACAGTAGCTCTCTGGGTAATTGGCTTGAAAGGAGGTGCTGAGGAGAAGAGCTGCTAGCAGGTCTCGGGGTGAAGGATATGAAGTAGTAACCAGGAGACATGAAAAAGGGCAGGGAGGGTGGTGGTGATTAGGGGAGCCTCCTCATGTGTCTGATTTCTGCCTTGGCAGGTGCAGGCCACCGTGGTAGGGCTCCTGGCTGCCCTGGCATCCCTGCTGCTGGGTGCAGTGTCCCGAGAGGAGCTGGACTGGGCCAAAGTGGCACTGCTGTGCACGAGCAGCGTCATCACTGCCTTCCTTGCTGCCTTTGCCCTAGGTGAGCCGGGCCTCCATGTGTGACACTCCCCAGGCCTATGCCTGCTTCTCGGCTCTCTTGTTAAGGTTCCTGGAGATATGAGCCAGGGACCCCTGTGGTGCTAGTGTGGAACTTCAGGGATCTGGAGGTCGGTGGGAAGAGCCTCCTGGGTCCTCAGAGCCTGCCCTGTGCACTCTCTAAGGTAGGGGGGTGTGCTAGGAGCTCCCATCTCTCCTCCAGTCTTGACAGGCTCTCAGCAGATTACTCAGTGCTGAGGTCAGACACTCTGAGAGCAGCAGTTTTGTTCATCTGGTCTGTTGACCTCTCTGTGCATAAATAGTGTGGTGTGCAGAGCACGAAGAGCTGTGTACAAAGCATGCAGGCCTGTGGTAGACTCTATGTGCAGACACTGAGTAGCAGGCTCATGCTGACTTGGGTCTTATCTCCTTCCACCTGTCTCAAAGACATAGCAGATGTTGCTGTACCCCATTTCTGCACAGCTGGTCCCTGGAACAAGCCCCCTCTAGTTGCAGTTGGCTGCTTTCTCACTGTGTCCTGGCTTGGCTATGAGCCAGCTCCCTGGGGTCTTCCTTAGAAGAGCACACTGATCCTGTTCCCTAGGGCTCCCCTCTCACACCAGTCATCTACCAAAGGCCCCTCTCCTAACATTAATTCAGCCTGAGGATCTGGGGACGCAGCACTCCCCTTCTCATGCCCATAGCCCCATTCTCGCAAATTCCTGTGGACATCTGAAGCATCTTGTGTCTCTGGTCATTTTTCTGTCTCAGCTCCTGATGAGATGCCAGCTCCTAGAGGGTGGGACCCAGCACTCCTGCTCTGCCTGCTCCCCCTGCCACATGTTGGGCAGTGGTTGCTTGGAACAGGCTCAGCAGGGAATGGTGGAAGACATGGCCCCTGACCTATGGTAGACAAGTAAAGAAGGGCCTACAGATAACCAGTGCCAAATGATGCTTCTGCTCCAGAGCCTGACCAGCTCTCCAAAACAACTTCCAGGACACATCTTAGAGGCCTGTGTTATTAACTGCCCTCTCTAGATGTAATCCAGAGCCTCAAGACAAGTGCTCACCACTGAGAAGCCCCCCTCCCTACCAATTCACCCACTCATCATTTCCCTTCCCACCCCGTGGGTGTTCCACTGATGAGTATGAAGCTGTGTTGTGACAGTGGTCACAGCAGGGCCAGGAGAATAACCGGAGCAAATTTATTTGTTCTGGTCTCATCTAGACTGAATGCCATGTGCATCTTGCAGGCCAGCTGCCTTGCTTTTGTGCTTGTAGAGGAAGGACCAGTTGGTAATTCCTAAGTGGCCTCATGTTCATAGGGCTGGGCCACATCCCCGACAGAAGCAGCTAGTGATTCTGAAGGGCAGCCATTTGCCTGTGGGATCTAGCGCCTTACTTTCCACGGGGAAACCAGAGCCCAAAGACAGTGACGCTCAGCAGCCTGGCATTCTTTTCATTGCACAAAATGCTCAGAAATGTTGTCACTGGAAGTGGGTTTTTGTTGTTTGTTCCTTTGTTGTCTTTTGTTTTGAGATAAGGTCTTACTCTGTAGCCTAGACTGGCTGGGACTCACTGTGTAGCTCAGGCTGTCTTCAAATTCACAGGAACCCTCCTGCACAGATAGGGCACCAAGTGGCAGGTGTCAGTGGCTTCAGGACAGCCTTGTGTGTGGTTATAATTGTTTTCTTTTGTCCTTTTTGTGGTGCTGGGGATCCAACTCAGAACCTGCTGTACTTATTTTAGGCACAGGATTCTAAGTAGTGTTAAAACTCTAAGACCCACAGTACAAAGTGTCTTCTTGAAGAACCAAGTGAGAGTCTGCGGACTTAAGTCCAGCCAGTGATGGGGCTTGGAAGATGGTGGGGTGGATGCCCTCAGTCAGAGCAGAGGGTTGGAGACATGGCCACAAAGCCCATCACCATCTGCACTCCATGGTCATATGCTCCATCCTAGTGACCAGGGATAGCACAGTTGGGCTCCTGGGATCAGGGACCCCCAGGACATCTGTGATGGTCAGGCTAAGTGTCCCTCCCCTTGGTGTTGGGATGCTCTTCCCTCAGTGCTTTGTCCTAAGAATTGCCCCTCCCAACAGGAGTTGTGAGCTCCATGTCTTCCTAGTTTTAGGTGATTTAGGAGCCAAGAGACTACTTGCTTTCTCAGGGGTGTCTGAGGTTTCCAGGCCACCCCTAGCCCCCTCCCCCGCCTCAGGTTTTGTGAAGGTGGGCAACCTGCTGAGGGTTCAGGCTTTCATAGATATAACTATTTACCAAGCAGCTCTTTGACCACCTGCTGACTCCCTCCCTGTCTGTGAGTCTTTGAGTCTTCCCACCCCCAGCTGCTCCCTGGGCCTCCTTCCTTTCTCTGCAGGAATGTTGATGGTTTGCATAGTGATTGGTGCTCGGAAGTTTGGGGTCAACCCAGATAATATTGCCACGCCCATTGCAGCCAGCTTGGGAGACCTCATCACCCTGTCGATTCTGGCTCTGATCAGCAGCTTCTTCTACAGACACAGAGGTAGGGAGGGCTCCAAGGAGAGGCCTGTGCAAGTCACCACCGAGACTGGGTGGGTACTCAGTTATTGTGTTCAGCCTGCAGTATGCCCGGAGGGGGAGCTAGCACTTGGTAGAGTCTGGATGCTCCCTGTATACAGGAGCTTGAGGTTATTCAAGTCTAGGGATCACTGGAGAAACTGAGTATGGAGGGAGGTGAACAGTTCAAGTCTGCGGACATGGGGTTGTCAGTTCCCACCTTTAGGATGGAGGACCTAAGGCTTCTCTGGTGATGAATGTGTTGTTCAGGATGAAGCCAGTGGGGAGCAGTGGGCATGTGGTGACAGTTATCAGAGGAAATGGCCAGCAAAGATCAGTGTCCCATGGGAATAAGGATCTGGAGTTTTGAGAAATAAGCAGTGACAGCAGGTATAACTACTTAGTGTGGTCTCTTCTGTGTGTGGACACTTCTGTCCAGCTCCAAGCCAACTCCTGACCTGCCCTGTTAGGTACTATCTGCCCCTAGTGCTATTGCATCCCCTGGGAGACCCTCAGTGAAGAACCTGGGAATCGGATAAGATCAGATAGTTTTTCTTTTTTTTTAAATATTTTATTTATTATTTTTATTTTATGTGCATGAGTATATTGCCTGCATGTATGTGAGTGCACCCGTGTCATGCAGTGCTGCAGAAGTCAGAAGAGGGCTTCGAATCCCCCTGGAACTGGAGTTACGGACGGTTCATAGCCACCATGTGGGTGCTGGGAATTGAACCGGGGCCCTCTGCAAGAGCAGTCAGTGCTCTTAACCCCTGAGCCATCTCTCTAGCTCCTCAGATAGTTTTTCTTTTAAGACAGAGTTTAAAACAAGATTCACATAGTTGTTATTTGCATTTGATTGGCAAAGCAAACCAGATAAGAGTGTGACCAGCCCTCTGCTGGCAGATCCTCTCTGGTGTGTTTTGGGGGGAGTCTCTGGGCCTGGCCCCATGAGACAAGTCGGGAAGATGCTCAGTATGAGAGCTGGAGGGCATATGGAGAACGTGGACCACACCCCCAAGTGTCTTGTAGACACTTCTACAGGCTGTCATGTCCCTGAGTGTTAGTAACCTGCTTAGAGCTTAAGGGGCCTGCCTCCCATGTCCATGTTCACCAGAAAGTACTTTGTCTGTAGCCTGACTTGGGCACAATTGGGGCTGTGGAGAAAGAGGAGGGGGTGTTCCTAATGACACCACCCAGAGAAGTAGGGTAGGGGAACAGACCATATATAGAGTGCCCCAGCATTGAGGCCCATCAGGCAGGTAGAGACAGGGTACAAAGATGATTCTAGAGAATGTCTGTGTTTTGTACATGTAGGAAGGGAAACTCAGAGTTATGAGGCTGAACTAGAGCAGAGGTGAGCAGTGCCCGAGCATGTCGGCCCTGGATACATGATCATGGAGGTGACTTGGGGGATATGAGTATCTACCAGGTCAACCTTGATCTGTACCCCACAAGAGATGCCTCAGCCAGAAGCAGGCTGCCTCAGCTGCCTCTGACCCCTCCAACTCCCCATGCTGTGTTTCCTGGCAACTGCCTCTTCACTCTTCTGGCTCTCTTGCTACCTCTGAGGAGACTACTGAGAACCCGAAACACTGTTGGGCATGGGCAGGGCTGCCACCTGCTCAGACCCTCTTTTTGCTGCTCGTTATAACACTGGGTAAGGGAAGCTGAGCAGAGACTTGACAGAGAAGTGGGGAGAATATGGTAGGAACTGAAGATAGAAACAAGCTTTTCCAGTTGCTTAAAGGGATTGTTCTGTTCATTGGCAGATGTGGTAGGATGGCTCATTCTAAATGGTAGGGAAAAATTGTTTCCTCAGATGCCTAGAAATGCAGGCCGCACTGCAGCCAGCTCTTTTGTGCCAGCCTTGACTACATGAGCTACATATGTCTGCTTTTCCTTAGACACCTGGTATCTGATGCCACTGGTCTGCATCGGCTTCATGGCTCTGACCCCTCTGTGGATCCTCATTGCCAAACAGAACCCACCTGTCATGAAGATACTCAAGTTCGGGTGGTTCCCCATCATCCTCGCCATGGTCATCAGCAGGTGAGCAGTGTACTCGTGGCTTCTCACTGCTGTAACTAAAACAGACAACTTAAGAGAGATTTATTTTGCTAAGCATTCTGGGGGCTTGGTCTGTGATTGGCCACATACTTTTGGGTAAAACTTCACAGCAGCAGGAGCAGGCCCTGTAGAACTGGTCACTTCATAGCTGACCAGGATATAGGAAGATGCCAGGGCAAGATGCAGCCTCCAGGGATATGCACTTCTGATGACCTACTTCCTCCATCTAGGGTCCACCTCTAGCCTTTCAGTTCCCTTCATCCCATCAAAGGATTAATCCATCCACTAGGTCAGAGCCCTGATGGTCAGTCATAATTAAACTGTTTCTGGAAATGGCTTGACAAACACACCAGAGTTGAGCTTTGCTAATCACCTGGTGCTTTTTATTAGAGTCAAAGCTGATAATCGAGATTAACCATCACAGGCTGGCTCTGGTGGTGTACACCTTTAGTCCTAGCCCTCGGGAGGCAAAGGCAGGCATATCTTTCTCAGTTTGAGTCCTGGTCTATATACCAAGTCCCAGGCCAACCAGGGCTACCAAAAAAAAAAAAAAATTAACCATAAAAATTCACCCCTTTTCAAGTTAATACCCAAATCACTATTGCATTCCACCCTCACCTCCAAAAAGCTTACCTGCATTACCGTGTAAAATATATACAGTTGAATTTCAAGAGTCCCCCAATTGTAACAATTCCACCAGTATTCAAAACTCTAAAGTTCAAAATGTCTCTGAGATGCTAGACAAATCCTTAGCTGTGAGGCCCTGTAAGCTCAAAACAAAGTTGCACAGTGGCACAGTGTGAACAATTCCATTGCCAGAGGAAGGGACAGGAATAATGAGGAAGGATTGGACCAAAGTAAGATGGAAATGCAGCAGGGCAAACAGTAACTCCTGTGGCTCTGTGTCTGGCATCTGGGACACGTGATGTCATGATGTGAGCTTCATTGGGCTTGGTTAGTCCTGCTTCTGCGGTCACATGCCTCTGTCTGGTTGGTTCCCTGTTATCTGCAGCTTTCTTTTTTTAAAGTTTTTAAAAAACTAATTTTATGTATATGAATGCTTTGTCTGCATGTATGTAAGTGTACTCATGTTGTATAATGTCTGCAGAGGCCAGAAGAGGGCATTGAATCCCCTAGAACTGGAGTTATGAATGGTTGTTAGCCACCACGTGGGTACTGGGATTCAAACCCAGGTCTTCTGCAAGAGCAGATAGTACTCTTAACTGCTGAACCATCTCTCCAGTCCCTCCTCCAGCTTTCTATGGCAGACATTCTACATTTCTGGGATCCTGAACATCCTGGGGTTCTACCTCAGCTTAGGCTTGAACCCCAGGGCTCACACATCACCCTATGCAGCTACTCACAAGGATCCTGATCTTGCTGTGCATTGATTGGCCTCCTAAGTCTTCCTTTGGAATATGGGTGGAGGCCTCCACTACCCCTGCTCTTGTATTTTGTGTGCTGCAAACCATTATCATGTGTTCAGCATGTCAGTACAAGCTGGAATTGTAGTATGATGACTCTTGTAGCCTGTGTTGGCCCAGAACTCTGTGTAGGCTTCAGAATCCCTCATCCTGGCTCCAGGGCACCAGTTATGTTCACCCTTTGGTCACTGTCCACAGTGTGGCTGCTGGTGGAACCTAGAGAGCTGAACATCCCCCCACTCTTGCTACACACACACACACACACACACACACACACACACACACACACAACTATCTTCCCTATTCTTATAGACCTCTTCCTGGTGGGAAACTTTGATAGGGGCCACTGTGGTCATTCTGGCATATTCTAATCCTTCTAATCCAAATCTCAAGGAAAAGAGGTTGTGGTCCTTTGCTTCTAGAATGTTCCAAGGCTCCTTATACAAACTTTGAGGTTCTACAAAGTCTAAGCAGTAGATAGGCCTTTCTTAAACTCCAGCTGCAAGTGGAAGCAAGGTCTTATGGCAGCATCCCCAGAGAGGAAGAGGCCTGAGATGTCAGTGGTATGGCGCCTATCTTCCTGAAAGAGCATCTCATCCTGTGACAGAGCCCAGTCAGCGGGGCCTGTTCTGTGCTTTGCCTTGGGATGGCTCTTATTTTGTTGCTGCCATATGAAGGGCCCTCAGGAACAGCTGAGACTCAGGATAGAGATGGACATGGGGAGCTAGCAGAGCTGCAGCAGACATTCTGTACGGGGATGACACAGTACTTGGTGAGCCCAGGAAGGCAAGACAAGGGGTAGTGCACTGTCACTCTAGTGTCAGCTCTGATGCCTAATGCCATCTGTCCTCTCCCAGCTTTGGAGGCCTCATCCTGAGCAAAACTATTTCTAGACATCAATACAAAGGCATGGCTGTCTTGACCCCCATCATATGTGGTGAGTGCTGGGCATGGCTCCCTGTGGTCCTTGGGCTGGATTGGGCTGAATACCAGTGTGCAACCTCAGGTTCTGAGATGGATAGGCAGTCCACGGTGTCTGCTGGACTGATTTTTCTCAAATGAATGGGGCCTAAAGGGACCTCAGGGCCTGGGGGAAGGAAGGTCCATCACTGCCCTTATACACACACTTTTTAAAACAGGGTCTCACGTTATAATCCAAACTGACCTGGAATTTACTGTGTAGTACAAGTCATCCTTGAAACCACAGTGGTCCTCCCGAGTACTAGGATTGCAGGTGTAAATCGGCTTTGTTTGTTCTAGGTCCATTGATGATGTTAAAATTCAGATATTCACACACAAGACTCTGGGTCTTCTTAAAAATAAAGCTCCTAGCCAGGCGCACGCCTTTGATCCCAGCACTTGGGAGGCAGAGGCAGGCGGATCTCTGTGAGTTTAAGGCCAGCTGGGGCTACAGGGAGACCCTGTCTCAAAAAGACCAAAAAAATGAAAATAAAAATAAAGGTCCTGACAGTAGCAGGTTTACTCTTTGGGCTTGGCAGAAATTGGCTGAAGCTGGCATGACCTGTGTGGTACTTTGGAGGAGAGAAGTACTCAGAATGGCCTCAGGTGGTTGCTCTCTGCCCCTCTGGTTTCCTGGAACACACTGGCCTCACTAGGGAAGTTCTGGGGCTGAGGAGCCAGGTCAGGGGCAGGCCTATCATCTGCCAGGAGCCAGGTCAGGGGCAGGCCTATCATCTGCCAGGAGCCAGGTCAGGGGCAGGCCTATCATCTGCCAGGCCCCAAGTCAGCCCACCAAAGGGGCCATCCTGCCTAGAGGGCTTGTAGCCTTTTCTATACCCTTAGAGGCTGGAGCCTCAGCAGGGAGCCCCAGAATTCTAAGGTGTGAACAAGTTCATGGCAGCTTCCTGGTTCCTATCAGTATCCTATACCCCAACCCCCAGCTTCCTGAATTTCCCTAAAGACAACCCCTCTGTGTATGTATGTCACTGGATGTGGGTATCTACACTATATATTGCCCTCAAAGGAAACCATATCATATACTAGGTGAAGCCCCTGTGCCTGAGGTCTGACTCACCCAAAAGGACTGCTCAGCCAAACACCCATCCTGGGTTTCCTGCTTTGCCTGTCCTAGTTCCCCAGCTTAGTAATCAGCTGTCACTTGTGAAGGCTCACAACATCTGAGCCACCCTCACTGGCTAGCAAGTCCTGGTGGGAGGGGAGGAGAAGGTAGCAAACACCCATCAATCAAGAGCCCTTCCAGAGGAAGGAAGTATATGCTACGAACTAGTCCACAGAGGCTAGAACGTCTCATGGCCTCTTCTCACAGGTGTTGGTGGCAACCTGGTGGCCATTCAGACCAGCCGGATCTCCACCTTCCTGCACATGTGGAGCATACCTGGGGTCCTGCCCCTCCAGATGAAAAGATTCTGGCCTAACCCATGTTCTACTTTCTGCTCCTCAGGTGGGTCTGTCTCCCGTCTTCCAAGGCCAGATGGCCATGTCTTTCCAAGCAGAAACCTTGGTCACCAAAATGTATTTGTAGCCTGAGGTCCATGCTGACCTTGGCATGGGTCACTTTCAATGTCTCAAGCTCCTCCTCTGGGACACCTAGCTCCTCAGCTTTGCCATTTAGTCAGTCAGCCAGTCGGTCGGTTGTCAGTCAGTCAAACCAGTTAGTATTTTCCAGGTTCAAGGTGGTCCATGATGGTGGTGAAACAGATGACTGATTTCTTGTGCTTATGGATAACAAATGTAGAAAAGAGAAACAGAAAACAGAAAACCCTGGCTGAGGCCAGCCAACTTGGCCTGACAGATGGAGGAGGGTGTTGAGCAGAGCACAGCCTGAGCCCAGGCCCAGTAAGGAGTTAGCAAGTCTAAAGCCCCAAGTACCCCAAGCAAGTGAGCAGCGGGGTGAAACTGAGGGCAGAACAGTACGAAGGATGGGCAGGGAGCTTAAACAAAGAGTTAGGGGGCGGTTTTAGAGCCACGGGAATGGGTAGAGATGGTTTGTCTTTTTGTTGACTTTAAAGATGGGATCTTTTCTCCCCACGCTCTTCTCCAGTTATTTCCCCTCTGATACAAGAATTGCCCTCAGCCCTTGCAGTCAGGAGCACCCTCCCCAGCAGCCTGACTCCTGCCCAGTTCCCCAGGTCCTTTTTCTCCTGGTCTTTCCTCTTTGGAATCCTCTCCCCCAGTGTCAGATCTGGGCCTAAGTGCCATCTCCCCAAGAGTTCTTCAGACCTCCAGGGGTTCCCACCACCTGTACGCACTTCATGCCCTAAGATGTCACCTGAGCTGATTTTCTTCAGTATTTATCTGCAAGCAGGTCATGTGACTGTCTTGGTTCTCTTTCTTTCAGAAATTAATTCTGTATCAGCCCGAGTCCTGCTCTTTCTGGTGATACCAGGCCATCTGATTTTCTACTACCTCATCTATCTGGTAGAAGATAAGTCAATGACGAACAGCAAGATCTTTGTGCTGCTGTATCTGGTGGCAAGCCTGATCCAGGTAAGGATGGCTGCAGTGGAGATGGGCAGCCTCTGTGGCTTCTCAACCAGCAGCTCTCATCCCCTACCCTACAGGAGGTGCTGAGCGGGGTGGCAGGGTTCAGCCAGCTGATTCAAGCCCTGTGACATGGGCTAGATGCAGAGGCCACTGCACACTAGCACCACACACATCACTGCCTGTGCATGCCATACACTGCATGCTATAGAGCTTGTAGCCTTTTCTACACCCTTAGAGGCTGGAGCCTCAGCAGGGTGTATGCTGTAGGCCTCATGCCACATACCTTACACCATGTGCCACTACTACACACTACAGGCATGATCATAGTATGCACTGTGCATTGCACTCCGTGTGCCACACTCATCAGAGCACTGGAAGAACGGCTTGCAGATGCCTTGTGCTGTGAATTAGGACGAGCCAGCGATCCACCCCTCATGGGTGTCCTACTGGGCCTGCTGCTAGAGGGCACACATGGTCTCCCTTCTGAGGCATAGTGGCAATGTGGACAGTGGTGAAGGAGATTAAGCTGGTGCTACTCTAAGGGGGACTCGGTAGACTGCTGAGACTCTAGCTGGCTGATGACCCTAGTGGCCTAGAGTGTCTACAGGGGGGACTCCGGGCATCATGGCAGTTCCAGGAGGGTGCTGCTACTGCTAAGCACTTAGTGTTTCTTAGTCTTTCCATCTTACATCATTTGGATCCCAGCATGGTGCTCACTGCAGAAACTGGGCTTGGGTGAGTCTCAGCGGGCAGTTGTCCTGAGCTGAAGGCTCTACTTAGGGAGAAGGAAAAGGCCAAGGAACTGTTTGATAAAGGCCACAGAGACCACGAGACCTGAGCAGGACTGTGTGGATTGCTTCTTGAAGGCTTCCAAAAGGACTAACCAAACTTCCCAAGATGTGGAGGGGAGGTTCAAGTGAACCCCCATCCGAAGTCCCAAGAATGGGGCAGCAGAGAGTGACCCAGCTGGTGGGTGGAAGCTGGTCCCTGGAGCACTTCAGAGGCTGAACGGGACACAACAGCTAGGGAGGGCCAATGATGACTGAGTTCTGTGGTCACAGCATGAATTCAGAGCCCCCTTCAGACTTTCTCCTTCCCCCACTCTGCCCTGTGACCTCTTTTGTGTTTCTGGGTGACTGGTAAAGGTTTATTTGACTCACAGGTTTTTTTTTTCTTCTTTTTTAACAATCTGTTCTGAACAGAACTGATCCAGACCCAGGGGACCTGACCCAATCCCTCCAGACATTACCAATCCATTCATGACCTAAGCACACTCCATAAAAGTCCCCCCACCCCAGTACCACCACAGTGGCAACTAAGCTTTTAGCATGTGCCCAAACCACTGCAGGCCTCAACAAAGCTGGAGGAAGGGAAGCGGCCAGGGCTGACATCTCCACTGCGGCAGTGTCCTCAGAGCCCAGCTGATGTTCTTGGTCATATGGGGCCTCTGACTTGGCTGCTTTTGTGTCTCTTTGCTCTTCTGGCAGGTGATCATCCTGCTGTACCTTGCAGAAGTGATGGTTCGACTGATCTGGCACCAGGCCCTGGATCCTGACAACCACTGTATCCCCTACCTCACAGGCCTGGGGGACCTACTGGGCACTGGCCTCCTGGCGCTGTGCTTCCTCCTGGACTGGTTCCTCAGAAGCAAAGCAGAGTCGGCTGGCTTCTTAGAACTGGCCTCTGTGCCTCCCTGACTGAGCCTGCCAGCTGTAGCTCTCAGCGGAACTTTCCCTCACACCAACAGTGTCTGGCATGCCGTTCCTCCTGCTGGGGCCTAAGGCTGGTAGACATCTGCCTGGGTAGTGGCCTTGTCAGACTGCCAAGGAGATGAGCATATACCTTGATTCTGAAGTTGGTAGCTGAGCTTGAGACAAGGCAATCCTGAAATCAGAAGCCCTGCTTGCAAGTGTGTGAGTGATTGGATTGCCTGTGTGAATGTGCATGTATGTGTGGCGGGCAGGATGTTCTGACCTGAAGACACTGAGGAAGATGCATGTGGAGCTGGTGTCCATGCAGCCTGGATGAGGCAGAGCAAGGAGCTCATTTGCAACCCCAGGTCTCAGGACTGCCCACACCCTGGCTTGACTGCTGCAGTCACTGGATTCAGTTCTTTGGGCCCCACTATTGGTGCACCCCGCAAATGTGTACCCCGTGAATGTGCACCATCCCCTGGTAGGCCCTGAGCACAGCTCATCTGCACCCAGCATTTCGTTTGGTCATTGCTTTCTTTATATTTTCCCTTTTCTCCATTTTTATAGTCCAATGCTCTGTGTAGGTTTCAGTGACCAGCGATGTATAATAAAGCATAAAAGACATTGCACTTGGGCTCCTTGTCCTCCAGGGTAGCCAGCCAGCATGGCCAGGAGGCTCAGTCTCCAGGGGTAGATGACATTGTACATAGCCTTCCCTGTCCTTCAATCTTTAAGCAGTAGCTGACACTTCTCTAGCGCAGCATTCTTCAGTGTGGTCTTCAGCCCAGAAGTCTGAATGTCACCTGGAAACAGAAATGTGCATGTCAGCTCTGTCCCTCCCCAGCCAGCCCCAGGGCAGCCCCCTGCAGGCCAGAAGACCTCAGCACATTCATGCTGGAGAATCACTGTTGAAAATGGCAAGCCTTTTTAAAAATTAATTCTTAATATTTGCACATATTTCTGAGGTGCAATGCAATGTTTTTATTCACGTCACCCTTTTTTAATGATTGATTTATTATTTTATTTTGTGTATACCAGCCTGAATGTATGTATATGCACCATGTGTATGCCTGGTGTCCACAGAGGCCAGAAAAGGGTATCGGATCCCCTGGTGATGGAGTTACCCCATGTGGGTGCTGGTAATAGAAAACAGGTCCTGTACAAGAGCAGCAAGTGATGCGAGTGTGGTGGCACATGCCTTTAATCCCAGCCCTTGGGAGGCATAGGCAGGCGATCTCTGTGAGTTCAAGGCCAGCCTGGTCTACATAGTGAATTCCAGGCCAGCCCCACTGTAGGGAAACCCTGTCTCAAAAAGAAAAAATAAAAGAAAGAAAGAAGAAAAAAAAAAAAAGCACAAGCACTCAACTACTGAGCCATCCCCCCAGTCTATCACATCATCCTTTTATGAAGTATGTTTACTTAGCAACCTTAGCCATGGCTTGATAAGACAGGCATCTGTTTGCTCATTCAGCAGATGTTGCTGGAGACCCTCAGACTTGGCAGTGTCCCTACAGTGTCCCTGCTCTACAGACAGGGAGTAACTGAGCAGGTTCCAGACTCACAAGAATCCATAAGGAAGCACCTGGGGCCAGACATGGGGGAGATGTTTTCATGGGGCACTCACCAGACCTATAGGAGCATTGGCCTTGGCATGGCCTGAGGCAAGCCATGGTCTCAGTGAAGACATTGCCAGCAGCAGAGCCAAGGGAAGAGGTACCCAACCTGGTGCTGCAATCCTCCATCTCCAGCTATCATTTGGCCAAACCCAAGTGGAAGTTCAGTGGCAGTGGAGTGGGTTGATGGTCCATGAAATCTCCACCTCTTGGTGCCTGGAACCAGGTGGGGAGGAGATGACTGGAGGTGTGCAGTAGCTAACACAAGTGTGTGCCAGGCCCAAGCTACCTGGGCCAAGTACCCATCCCCATCCTGAGGCTACTAGAGAGACTGTCAACATGGCAGAGGCATTGAATGCTGGCTCTGGTAAGTTCTGCCGAAGCAGCAGCTGGAGCTGTGGAAGCCAAAGCCAAGGAGAGCCGCATTTTCCAAGCACTGTGTTGTCCTGAATGCATTAGGCTGGTGCAAGAGGAATTGTGAATTTTCTGTCATAACAAGGCTCAGCACATCTGTACTAATCAAAATAGGAACACTAGAATCAACACATTTTGTCAACGGGAAAGATGTCAAATTACAGGACCCGGGTTGGGAGGTGGGCCAAGGAGTGACTTCTGAGTATAACCGCAATTTTAATTTGCAGGTGCACTGCAGTGCCTGTGCCTGTGCCTGCTCGCTAATTTATTTGTACAGTGGTGCAAATGCAGCAAATTAGAAATTATTAAAATACATTTGTGTGTGTGTGTGTGTGAGAGAGAGAGAGAGAGAGAGAGAGAGAGAGAGAGGCATGTGGAGATAAGAACAACATCCAAGAGCTGGTCCTCTTCTACTGTGAACTACAGGGATTGAACTCTGGTGGTCAGGCTGTGCTACAAGCACTTTAACTCTCTGATCTGTGGCCTACACGTGAGTGTGTGTGCACACATATGAGCCAAAATAGATCTTTCCTCCTGTATGTCATTTCTCAGGTATTTTGGTCACAGTGACATAAAAGTAACACAAGGAAAAATAAGATTTTGTAGGCAAGAAACTGTGGAGTCTGTGAAGAATTGCTAAGTGAAACATTGGGGGAGCAGGGATTCTTTTTTGTTTTTTGAGACTAGGTCTCACTATGCAACCCCAGGTGGCCTAGAGCTCATTATGTAGACTAGGCTTGTCTTGAACTCAACAGAGATCCGCTGCCTCTGTCTACCTCCCAAGTACTGGTGTTAAAGGTATGTACCACCATGCCTGCACATAAAGTGTTTTAATTTAAACCATTCTCTTTTTAATTTTATTATTTTTATTTTATATGTATTCCCGTATTGCCTGCATGTAGGTAAGTGCACCCGTGTCGTGCAATGCCCGCGAAGATCAGAAGAGGCTGTCGGATCCCCTGGGACTGGAGTTATGGACAGTTGTTAGCTGCCATGTGGGTGCTGGGATTTGAACCCAGGTCTTCTGCAAGAACAACCAGTGTTCTTAACCACTGAGTCATCTCTCCAGTCCCCCATTCTCAATTTAAGCAGAGAAATATCTCAGAACAACATGTGTCCCTCAGAACTCAAAGCTGCTATCACCGAATGAAACATTGAACCTGACTAGGACCAAAGCAGCCTGTTTCAGTGGATACCCTCATCCACGAGGTTCCAAACTTCAGACTGACCTCCACTGGGCAGAACAAAGGACAGCCCCAGCAGGGAAGATCCCAAGTTAATGTGTTCAGAACTCGTTACAGGACTGAAGTATCTGTACTGCCTGTTAGATACAGACAGGCTGGACTCCCAGCCGCCATTGTTGGGCAGGATGCTCTCAGACAGCAGCTGAGGGGCAGAGCCCTGCTAGATGAACCAGAGTTGGCAGACAGACCACTCAGATGTCAGTGTGCATGGCAGCTCCTGGAGCTCTTGGCACTGGTTCTAGTGACAGGACCAATGCCACCAGGGACTATGGCAGAGTGCCCATGGGAAAACTGCCTCTGGGTTTGTAGCCAAGGTCCTGCTCATCCTGAATGGCACTCCTCAGCCTTGGGCTGATCTTCAGAATTCCTGCAGACCTCGAGAGTTGTGGGTGTTGAGCAAATCCTCAAGTCAAATCCTGTGGTGATGTGACTGGGGGGGCTGCTGTTCCACAGCTGCTCCCTGCTGTTACTCTTCAGCCATTTCTTAAACAAACCACATAAATGGCTAAATTAAATGTGCAAAATTTTATTTATATTCTTGGATGCATTTCTCTGATGGAGATGGAGTTACAGTTTTCTGTATATTTTTCTTGTGTGCAGTTTTTAAAGCCTGATTGAATAATAAGAACAAACTCCAAGATTTACATCATATCACCAGAAATCTGATTATACACATACATAATACATACATACATACACATATGTGTGTGTGTGTGTATATATATATATATATAATCACCTTACCATAAATATGACATTTTAGGTTTCTGAAAAACTCTAAATTGTTTTTTTCAAAGTAAATTATATTTTTAAGCTGGGTATGGTGGCGCAGGCCTTTAATCCTGGCACTCTAGAGGCAGAGGCAGGTGAATATCTGTGAGTTCAAGGCCAGCCTGGTCTATATAGTGAGTTCTAGCCCAGCTGGGGCTACAGGAAGACCCTGTCTTTAAAAAAAAAACAACAAAGTAAATTACATTTTTTGGAGCTGTTATACATTCATAGCAAAAATTGACTGTAAAGCAGATATACTCCATCCCCACAGCCTCTGTGCCCAGAGTTGGAACCATGGCCCTGTGGTGATAGCTCAGAGCCCACCATTTACACCAGGTTGTATATTGTATGTCCTGTGGGTTTTGAAATGTATAATGACATGTCTATCATTTTAGTAACACCTGAGATAATTTCACAGCCCTGAGACTTCTTTGCTCTGTGTATTTCGTGCTTCCTTCCACCTGTCTCCCCTGGCACCCTGGCACCCACTGATTCTTTTATCGTTGCCACGTGTTTTTGTTTTTAGTACTGAATGATCTTGAGTTCTTTGTACACCATAGTTTAGTTCTCCATTTGTTACTAAAGGACACCCTGGTGGCAATCATGGTTAAATATGTGAACTTTCCTGTGCAGGTTTCTATATAGAAATAAAGTCTACTCTTTGAATAAATAACAAGATTGCAACTGCTGCTCATATAATGCGGACTGAGTTCTGTGTCCCTCTTAAGTTCATGTTGCAGCTCAGCAGTAAGCAGGAGGACTTGAATTCAAACCCTCAGTGTCCATGTGAAAAGCCGAGCATGCATGTCTATAATTCCAGTGCTGTGGGCAGCAGAGACAGAATGACTGCTGGGGTATCCTGGCTGCCAGCCTAGTTCCAGGTTCAGTGAGAGACAAGCTACATACTGAGTTTAAAACTAGCCTGAACTACCAAACAATACTCTCTCACAAGGAAAGAGACTCTTAAAATATTAAGTGTCAAAAAATAAATTAGAAAAAAAAAAAAAAAGCCGGGCACGGTGGCGCAAGCCTTTAATCCCAGCACTTGGGAGGCAGAGGCAGGCAGATCTTTGTGAGTTCAAGGCCAGCCTGGTCTACATAGTTCCAGGACAGCTGGGGCTACAAGGAGACCCTGTTTCAAAAAAGACAAAAAAAAATATTCTTAAGTGTCTATACTTTGCTGTACTTTGGTAGTTACAGTACTATTTTTTTTTGTCTTTGTTTCAAGGGAATAAGAGAGAGTGATAGAGCAGGCTGCCTAATGTCCTCCTCTGGCCTACACACACACACACACACACACACACACACAGGTGTGCACATCTGCACACACATATGCATATCACCACACACCACATACACACACACAAAAATCAAATTCATGCATCAAAATCATACCCCCAGTGTGATGGTCCTTGGAGCACCCTTGGGAGGTGCTTAGGACATGAGGGTATAGATTTTATGAATGGGATTCTTGTAAGAAGAGACAGTAGCAGAAGTTTGTCCTCACTCTCTGTGCCATGCAAGAAACATGGAAAGATGGCTGTGCACAAACCAGGTAGAATACCCTTGCTCA